GTTAATTCTTTTATTTAAACTACACGTATTTCAATTGTTAGCAGGACGCGTCATCATCCTTTTTTCCCCCTTTGTGCCCAACATACATGGGGGCAGGATGAAGTAGAGTTCATCTGATTCAACGACTTCGGCAATGCAAGGGGATATAGTCAGAATTTTCCCAGGAAGGCATCTTTTCACCCCCCCCCCCCGGAAGGAAAGATAAAGACTCCCCCCCCCCCCCCCCCCCCCGAAACGAAATGTCCGCTCCCCCCGGAAAATTTTAGTCTCAGGCACTTCAAACTATCCGGGGGGGGAACAGTATTTCTTCCAGACTTTTTTCTCCGTGGGGTGCGCTTCCCCCCCCCCCCCCCCCCCCCGCCCCCCTCCCCCCCCCGAAGAGATGCCTGGAAGAAACTCTGCGGGGGAGAATCTAGATTCAAATTAAGGGGAGGGGGGGCGCGATGGTCACCTGTTTAAGTATATATTTCCTGTAATATAAATTATATATTTTTCTATATTTCGTGGGGGTGGGGGGGGTAGAGGACGGTGGACGCGCATCGAGTTGCCCCCCCCCCCCCCCCCACCGCCCCTCACCAAACCAAATAGATGCTTGCAAGAAACTCAGGATAAAAGTCTGACTTGCAGCTCACTTGCTGAATCAATCAATTCTGACATACAAATTACACGCGGAAACAGAGGCGTGTTGCTACTCAGATATCGTCATGCTCGGCTGCGTAATGAGGTCAGTGTGACGTGGGCACTGTTGACGTACATGACGTCTTCGGAGCTTTAGGGGGATCGTGTGAATTATATTACGTAAAGCAAAAACAGGGGGAGGGGTGTTAGTGAATCATTTTGCTATGTCTGTGATTTTTTTTTTTTTAGTTGAGAATTATTTTGTATGGACATCAATAATAGTGTGGTTTTCAATTAGGGCAAAAGTGTGTTTAGGAGAACGCATTGAGTTCTGACTTAGACATTTTTATATTAACACATTATGGACCATGCGCATATCCCTATTACATTACGCCAGGCTATAAAAAAATAAATAAAATAAACATTTAAGAAATATACACGAGTCAATGAGTACATAATAAAAATTATGTTTCAAGGTTTACAATGACGTCAGCATTATAATGGCTACGATGTTTCTTTCAGGAATTTTTTTTTTCGGGAGGGGGACGTTGAAAGAGGGGGGGGGACGGGCAGACACTAGTAAAAGTATTTTTTTTCCCATATAAATTTTATTTCTTTCGGGGGGGGGGGGGGGGGCGGTAGAGAGAGAGAGAGATGCCTGGAAGTAACTCTGAATGGCTACATTATCCCTATTCCACCATCTGAAGTAATTTCCCTCGTACGTTCCAAATTCTTTGACTGCGGCGATTGGCAAATACAATTTTAGACCAGTACATGATGCGGTTATTCTGATAACTAAAGATAAAAAATGTATTTAATTTTTATGGTGAGCGACGGTGGGGTGGAGCTGAGACTTGTTTCTTTTCTAAGTGAGGCGCTAAGGGGTCATCCATTTATGACGTCCACAATTTTTTTGGATTTTGGACCCCCCCCCCCCCCCCCCCCCCCCCCCCCCCGCGCGTCCACAAAAATCCACAAGTCAGTTTTTTTCCGGACCCCCCCCCCACCCGCGTGGTGGACGTCATAAATGGATGACCCCTAAGGTTATTTTAGTTTGACAATGAAAAAACTGGATAACCAATCGTTTAGTTCTATGTCAATGTTCAAAGACAATCACCGTGGATTTCTCGCATCTAATGACCAGTATGACTTGCACAATAACATCTGAATTGTTGTTTATCTTTTCATTTACATTGCAACTAAGCGAATAATCACATCCGGAAAGGGGCTGATCTTAACCAGGATATTCGTGGTCACACCTGTTTTTGATTGGCTTGTTTTAAAAAAATAATTAAATTAATAATGTCGACAAGGATACAAGATAATTAGCGTGCAGAGGCGGAACTACTATATTGGCAGAGACCATGGAATGCCGAGGGGGGGGGGGGTGGCAAGGCCGTTTAGAGAGCACACATTTCGACATTTGTAAAAAAAACATATTAAGTACATTAGTGAGTGTTCTACAATAACTAACATACGCCGTTGCGTAGAAAAATAACGCATGAGCAGTAGTGTGAGAGATAGGAAAAATAATCATAACATTTCCATGACTTATTGCTCTTCTTTAAAAAGACTAATACTGGTGTCCGCAAATATCATTTTATTACAAGGTAAATTAAAAATCTTTTGCTTCTCTTAATTATTGTTTAAATAAGTTATACTAACAAATGACAGAGCGATAAAAATGATACACCATAAGAATAATATGAACCCGGAAACCATTACACCTATTCATCTTCCGTGTTTCATAATACTTTGCTGATATGAAGTAACACTTCCCAATTTTCGGCAGGGTATTAAATTACATTACGGTAAACTCTATTATTTCATTACCGAAATAAGTATTGAGCCTTTTTTGTATATATATATACATATATTACATACATATTATATACATATATATATACATATACATATATATAAATACTCTATAGTGAGCACGTTTACGTCATTGTGTCATCCCACCCTCTTGTAATAATTGTCGATTTGTAGTTCTACTTAAAAGACTACTTAACTTTAATTAATCATTCATGAACTGGCAAAAGGACTTTTTTTCCCTGGACACTTTGCATAATTTTTTGCCCTGGTGTCACCCCTCTAAGTGTTGTCACCCGGTGCGGTCCGCACCCCCCCCCCCCCCCCCCCCGCCCCGCCCCCTGCTACGCCTCTGGCTGTCGGCAATGACACACAAATCGGCGACCTTTAGGCCGTGTAACCTTGTGGCAACATCTTGTTTTCAAATACCAACATGAGAGTCACCGAGGCATGAAATTATTAGAGGTGAATAGGCCTATATTTTTTTTCTCCGTCGGCTGTTTCGCTCAATGAACACAGTCGACAGACAGGTGCGGAAAAATTATAGGTCCTACCTGAAGTGGTATAGGGCGCAATGGGGAATCTTTTAGGCCGTATTTACCCACTGTAGAAAACATCCGCGATTTAAAAGCAATATAACCAAGTAGTTATAACATAAAAACAAAGCAGTTATAACATAAAAACATAGGTGCTATGGCAAAAACAAAGCAGTTATAACATAAAAACATAGGTGTTATAGCAAAAAACAAAGCAGTTGTAAAATAAAAAACAAAGCGTTGGTAACGTAAAAAACAAAGATGTTACAACATAAAACAAAACTGTTATAGCAAAAAAAGATGTAATATAAAAAGAAAGCTGTTATTGCATAAACACAAAGCAGTTATAATACTAAAACACAGCAGTAATAACATAAAAACACAGCATTTTGTAACTTAAAAACATAGCAGTTATAACATATATCTTATAAAATATCTTTTAATTTATATTTTATTTTTTTATTATTCACAGATTCCAATACTGCAGTAAACTTAAAGCACGATTTTTGTTACCAAAATGTCACACGAAGCCAAACGAGCTAGAAAAGGATGGCACATTCCCATGTCGGGCAATGGCCGAGAACACCTTTAACCCCATAAGGAGCATCGTGGACACGATGAAGATTGAGCCGCATCCGGACAAGCCGATGATTGCACTGTCCATTGGTAAGAGCAGTCCTCACAAAATTTAGAATGAGCGCTTCTTCTTCTTCTTCGTTCTTAATTATTAGTTTTTGAAGGGGATCGAGATTTATTAGCCAGTGGGTTTGAACTCGAGAGCTTTGTTCGAATTTATCAACCATGAGCTTTTTGCCGACTCGACCACGCCTCCAACACAATTAAGCATTGTCGTGTCAACTGGTTTATGCGCCATTGAGGCCATTGACTCCGATTTCAGCATGCTTTTATTTTTGGATTTGCTTCCATAGCCTTTGTCCAACCAAGAACAAACTACAAGGCAGCAGTTGTTTAATTTTGAAAATTGTCTCTCCTAGAAGAGTGGCTGTCCCCAGCTAAAGAGCCTCATCTGCCCGAGGGTTCGAACTCCAGATTTTTTGGTTTAGCAACCATGAGCTTTTACCGACTCGACCACGCCGAACCCTAATGAGAGCTTGAAAGAACTAAACGAAACAATTTTTTAAATTTATAATATAGGTGGAATTAGCGGATACGTTTATGTTACTATTAGCAGCGCAGCCATACCTACGTGGCATGGGTAATTTTGTTAATCTTGACCCATCTAATATATATATATATATATATATATATATATATATATATATATATATATATATATATATATATATATATATATACACATATAGGGGCCTATATATATATATATATAGCGTCCCCACAAGATAACGGTCCGAACCGGGGTGACACCAAATGAAAAATCGCAACCTTTACTTTCACAACAACGCTTTATTAAATTAAAATAAAATAATAAGGGGAGAAGGATGAGACCAGACTAAAAATGTTAAATTGTTGGAAAAGGGGTGGGGGGGTAACACCCGATCTAGTGATGCCACTGGATCTATATACCTTCTCTTTATTCAGAATCCTCCCCCCCCCCCCCCCCCCCCGACTCCCTTATTTTTATTTCTTGTGTAGTCCATCACCAGTTAATTTTTTACCTTGTATGCATATTCTCAATCGTGTTTTTTACCAGGTGACCCTACCACATTTGGTAATCTTCCTATGGCTGAGAATATTGAGGAGGCAATCATCACTAGCTTAAAACAGAGGAAATACAATGGCTACGCGCCTTCAGTTGGTGAGTCATTAGTTAATTCGTTTGGTGCGTGTGCCAGTGTTTCTTTCAGAATTTTTTTTTCTTTTCTGCTGGGGTGGGGGGAAAGACGACGACACTGGTAAAAGTATATATATATATTTTTTTAAAATAAAAATCATATTTCGTTGGGGGGGGGGGGGGGGTGTCATTATTGCGCGAGTCATTACTAGACTTTTAGTTGGCGCCCGTGAGATGTTTTATTTTACAAGGGAAGTCACCCTTGTATTTGCGACCGGGGAAACTTGGATTAGAATACTTATAAAATTAAAAACCAGCAGAGGGCTCACCTAGGCCTAATTTAAAAACTTGACGAAATTATATCAAAGGGTCGTCATTTGTGGCTGTCTAGCTATCAACGACTATACGGGTTAGGGTAAATTCGGCTACTCAGTGTGTGTCGTCATTATATTACTTTTACTCAACTTTACGCTACCCGTGTTTCCTTAACACCCCCCCCCCCCCTTTGTATCGTGGTCGCGCTGACCGTGAGTCCTACACACCTGACCAAGCGAGCACAAATAGCACAATATACAGCACACTCACTGTTATTTCAATATCTAATTGTAACGTGGTTATTTTGAGATTTTTACTTGCAAAAAATCGACTAGATCTACATCATCTTAAACTTTGACACAAAATAATCATGTAGACATACTACATTAAAAAAAAAACTTTTGTTGTTTCAGTTGTTTGAAAAGATTTAATAAAATGCTGGGGATATTTAACTACAGAACTGCTGATTTACTTTATAATTTATAATTTGTTTAGCAGTTTTTGTTTTCTTTTTTCTTAAATGAAAGAATTTTGTTAAATTCATGTTGACGTCCACATTGACCCGAACCCCCCTCCCCCAGTCCACATGCGCCCACAAAAGTCGATTTTTAAACCCCACCCACTGTGGACGTCATAAATGGACCACCTTTTAGCATAAATATTCTTGTCCTCCATAAATGACGTCACACTTTTTTTGGACGATTTTTACCCCCTCGCTACTGTCCGTCACACATCGTCACAAAAAGTCAGACTCCCCCTTCTAAAAGTAAAATTACCTCAGCTTCACTAAAATTGCAGTTGAATAATATTTCTTAAACATTTTTCCCCCTCTAAAATATTGACTGAGCTCGACCTAAATAGAGTATTTTAATCAATTTAAAATTGCAATTTATTAAAACAGGTTTCTAATAGAGGCTTACATATGTTCTCTAACATTACTATTTTATAATGCAAAAGTATGGCGTCACACTATCTGACCCCCTCTTCTCCCTCATCACACACCTTCACAAAATGACTGATCCCCCCCCCCCCTCCCACCCTACCCTTCGAGTATGACGTCGTTTATGGACGACCCCAGAACACACACAAAAAATAATTAATATGCATAAGTAAGCAAAAAAAAAAAAAAAAAAACAACCCAGAAAACAAAATAACCTTGGATTGTTTATTTTCCAATTCAGGTTTTGAATTTGCCCGCCAGGCAGTTGCAGACTATGTGTCCACCCCTACAGAGAAAGTTGAAGCGAAGGTGAGATTTATGTGATGTTGGGCGTTGATTTACTCTAACATTGTCCAAGGGCGATAACCTATCATAAACCCTAACAATTTTATCTTAATTAATAATTTCAAACCTGAAATTCAATTTTCAGTCGTTGTTAGTAAAATCTGCTTATAAAGAATAAATCAAAATATGCCTAGAGTACTCTAGTCTAGAAATCTAGATTCTCTATTAACTACTAGAACTAAATGCTAGATCTAGACCCTATGTAGAGACTTCAATATAAAAACGATAATTATGAGGTTTAAATCGAACGACATGATTTAAGTTGTATGGATGTACTTTGCATAATAAGTAAAAAAAAAAAAAATAAATAAATGAAAAAAAAAAGATATATCGTGAAAAAAATCGTGGCTTACCAAAGTAAATAAAAATAAATGTTACTCATACGGTAAATATATGTACTACAAACACCCGTTATTAATCACTTATCTTTAAATTCAATTTTAAACACAGACATTAACACTTAACACGCACTCTCATTTCATACAACTAACCCACCCCATATCAAACAATGATGGAAAACCCCTGCCTACCTAGCAGCACCGCCCCCCCCCCCCCCATTACAGTAGTTATACACACAACTAAGTCAAAATACACAACCATCAAGACACGCACCACTGTCCAGACCGGTCCACAGTGACCTTCCCTTCCCCTCCCGCAGTCAAAAACAAAAACAAAACCCCACACCTTACATCTCGCCGATTAATGATTAATTCATAATTAATTAAATTTTTTTTCATTAACATTTGTTTATTCACCAACTGCTTTCTTGTCCCTTTACAAAAGTGTTCAACTATGGTGTCGTCCATAAATGACGTCACACTCATAGGGGGAAAGGAAAGGGGGTCCGTAATTTTGTGACAGATGTGTGATGAGGGGGAGGGGGGGGGGGTTAGATGGTGTGACGTCACACTTTTGCATTATAAAAAACTAGTGTTAGAAAACGAGTTTCAGCCGTTAGTGTGTGTGTGTGTGTGTGGGGGGGGGGTCATCCATGAATGACGTCACGGTTTTAATAAATTGTAATAGGAATTGATTAAAATACTCTATGTTGACAGAGTTCTGACAAGATTTTGGAAAAAATATCGATTTTTTTAGAAAAAAATTAAACAGCAATTTTGAGTGGGGTTGTAGGCTGATGTGTGACGTCATTTTAGGGGTGGGGGGTCTGGCTTTTTGTGACGACGTGTAACGGAGGGGAGGGGGGGAGGTAAACATCGTCAAAAATAGCGAGACGTCATTTATGGATGAACCTTTTGTACCACTTTTCGAAGTAATAAAATATTTGATTATACTAAAAAAAAAATATCGTGGCTTAACCCCAGCACTCACTAAGTACTAAGTAAGACTAAGACTGATGCAACCATTTACCATATGTCTGATAATACCTAGATCTAGTTATCTAGGAGATTTACAAGTCACTGATACTTTATAATAGTAACTGTTACAAGTTACAGCACTTAGATCCGTTAGATCTGGATCTGCACATTAAAAAATAGAACTGATATAGATCTAAATAGAAAATGTATTTGGTGCAAAGTAAGTTATTCACATCACACCTGTGTCTCTGGGGCTCAACTCATCTTAATAGCTATGTCCCAGATAAAGACTTTATTACATTCATAAAATATGAGTTTTACAATAGGGCTGGTAAGTAGGCCACCAACCTGTTTTACGACGCAATAAAACCTGCATGAGCCATAGAATTGGTTGGTGACCTACTTACCAGCCCTATTCCCTCTCATCAAAGCTATACAGGTGGTAGAGGAAAGTTAAGTTGCGTGGGAAGGGGAAGATTAAAATGGATGCTGACCAGACAGCAGCCTGGGGGTGGGGTGCTTCTAAATTTTAGGGGACCCATAATGCTGCCATGGATATAAAGAGTCCTTATTTTATTTACATATGCATCCTACATCAGCCAGGGGCAGGGGCGTAGCGAGGGGGGGGGGGGTGCGGACCGCACCGGGTGACACCATTTAGGGGGTGACACCAAGGCAAAAAATAGGAAAAAAATATAGAGAAAAACTTGAGGGGGGGGGTGCAAATCGAAAGTTCGAGGGGGAGGGGTGCAAATCGAAAACTTGAGGGGGGGGGTGCAAATCGAAAGTTTGAGGGGGGGGGGGTGCAAATCGAAAATTTGAAAGTTTGTTCCCGGGAAGGGTCGCTACGCCTCTGGGGGGTGGGGTGACACCATTAAGTGCAGCACCGGGTGACACCCGACCTCGCTACGCCACTGGCCAGGGGCCTTGCTCAGACTTGGTCTGCCCCCAAAATGTAGGGTTTGATCAGTGTTTCTTTCAGTCTTTTTTTCTCCAGAAAAAGGGGGGGGGGAAGCACGACTACATTTTCACCAGTTAAAGTATATATTTTCTAAATAAATTCTATTCTTTGTCAATGCTGTTGTATGTAGTATACCATTGACATTCATTTTTAATTGGGGGAGGATGGAGTTGTCTACAATAATAAAAAACAAAAAACAAACTTACTTGATGTCAATTTTTTAAAGATAAGAAATAGTTGTACTTTAATCAATAAAGAGTTCCACATTTTGTCCTTGCCCTAATTTGAAGCCCATGCTAATCTTTCTAATTTAAAATTTTTTGGGTGACTCTTTTTAGTAATTTAAAATAAAAATTATAAAAAACTTAAACAATTCATTATATGTTTGTGTTCCTATGTTTATTCCAAATAGGTTGGGTTCTTAATTCATGATTACTGTTAGTGATATAAGCTTTACAAACAACCCTATTACATATGTGATGAGTGAGAAAACACCTTGTATTTCCACTTTCCTTAAAAGTGAAAAAAGTGAAAAAACCATTGTTTATACAAAATGTAGTTGACACAAAATTATTTAAAAACCATTCACCGAACAGTCATAATCGGTGCTTTAATTTTTTTAAAAACCTTTTTTTTAAAGTAAGAGTATGTTTGTTATTCATTTTAACGTGTTTTATGAGGCGCAGCGAAGGGGGGTGAGGGGACGACATGACGAAAACTTGCTCTCCTACTCTGGGTCCGTCCCATGAATTAAAATTTTTGTTTCTAACCTCAAAATTTTTTTGGTTGTTACAGGATGTTGTATTGGCTAGTGGGGGCTCAGGTGCTTTGGATTTATGCATTTCCTGCCTCGCAGAACCTGGTCAGAACATTCTCATCCCCTGTCCTGGCTTTTCTCTGTACAAGACTCTGGCCGTTTCACTGGGAATAGAAGTTCGACTCTACGACCTTCTGGTAAAGCTGAATTCTTTTTTTTTTTGTGCTAAATTTTGTTATTATGGGTTATACAAGCTATTGTATAAATGTAGGTAAAATCTTAATATCAACTCTATGACCTTCTGGTAAAGCTGAATTCTTTTTTTGCTAAATTTTGTTATTATGGGTTATACTAGCTATAGTATAAATATAGGTAAAATCTTAGTACAGATATTAAAATTTTGCTGCTTTTCAAATTATTCAAAGAAAGCAACACATACTATAAGACCTTCTGTCAGCAGCTGTGGAACAAACTCATTAAAACTGAATAACTTTAAAAAAATTGTACAATTTTTACTTCCTTCCATTAATTATAAAACATTTAGATCTAATTGAATTTTTGCAAATAAGGTTTTTTATTTCATCTGCTATTTATATTCATAAATTGATAGTTTGAACATAAATTTAAACTAATTATTATTGTTATTATTATAAGCCCTAACCCTAATGTTGATCATCATCCTAATTTACTTATAAATCTGCAATTAAAAGATCACTAATTTAATGTAACATTACTTTTGTTCAATATGGTAAATATGTGTGGCTAAATGTTTAATTTTTTTTTGTTTCCAGCCTTCAAAGTCTTGGGAAGTTGACATTGACCACCTGGAAAGTTTGATAGACGAGAAAACTAAAGCTGTGGTCATCTGCAGTCCATCCAACCCATGTGGGTCAGCATACTCCAAAGAGCATTTGCTGGAGATTATAGATACAATGGAAAGGCACAGAATCCCTATCATAGCTGATGAAATCTATGAGCATTTTGTAAGACATTGTTATAATTCATCTTAGTGTGTCATATTAAAATATAGTACTCTAAAAAAATGTTACTTCTCTTTACCTAATAAAATCTCATATTGTCTTAAAAATATTTAAAAAATAGAATAGATGTTTTATAAAACTATAAAAGAGAAATGTAATTATTTAAACTTTGATATTTATTTAAAAAAGAAGACAAAAGTGATAATGAAGTTTGTAATTCCATTTTTCCTGAGTTTAAAAAAAAAAGAAATTGCAAGAATAAATTTGAAAATAATGAGATGATTGCAGGTCGTTTTCAATAATTGAAGATTTATTCTAATATGCATTTTAAAAATCTTCCATAAGGATTTATCTCCCCTGATTAAAAAAAAAATTCGAATCATCATTTAAGAACAAGGGGAAAAAGTAGTTAGCATGTTGTGCTATATTCTCTCTTTAATGTAATTCACAATTAAATAATAAAAATGTAGACCTACCAGTTTTGTTATCATGGTTCAAAATTATGTTTTTCAGGTTTTTAATGGCCAGTCTTATCATTCTGTAGCATCATTATCTAAAAATGTTCCAGTTCTTTCCTGCAGTGGACTTACTAAAAGGTAAATAACCACTCAATGTTTATACCTTAAAAAACACAGATCACTAAAATATAAGCCTGCATAATAAACTAAAACCTTAACACACTCTCATACTCTAAACTTCTTAAAAATTTATGCTATTCTTATTGCTGATAACAAAATGTCTATGTTGATTTGAATTTAATTTTACAAGACCTGTATGCTTAAATTCAGTTTATAATTTCAGATTTCTGGTTCCTGGGTGGAGGATGGGATGGATTGTCATTCATGATAGACATGATGCATTTGAACATGTAAGAGGAGTTAGACATATCAAAATTAGATTAAATACATTTGATTGAAGCAAACTTAAAAAAAAACAGTTTAAAACTTCACTAGAATAATCAATATCAGCATTCTGTTTTGACTTGATTTCATGTGCATACTTTTCCACTCTTAAAAATAAATCAGAAAAACAAAAAGAAAAAAAACAGTTTTAAATTTGAAGTTTTAAAAGGTGTTTTCATAGTTACACAAGAAAATAAATCATGTTATATAAAGTTTTATTTTATGCTTAGGGCTAAGTATAAAATTGTCCCAGAAGTTTCTATGTTTTGGATTTAACAGGAAAGATAATCCACTCTTAAATTATAATCATTGATTATTGTTGGGCTAGGCTAAAAAACTCAGTTCTAATAAGATTTCCATCAACCTCTGTGGTTTTATAACTGTATCACTGCAAAGTCTTCTAAAATGGCTTTTTAATTACAAAAGATTGCCGAAAATATCTTTTTATTTTTTTAAATTTTTTATTTAACTCTAAAGCTAAAATTTTTCAATCACTCTACATTGTGATGTTTTCTTATGCAGGTGAGAAAAGGCCTGGTCAAGCTGTCACAGAGAATTCTGGGACCAAATACATTAGTTCAAGCTGCCTTGCCAGAAATTCTCAAAAACACACCTAAATCATTTTTTGAAGAAACATTGCAATATGTTGAGGTAAGTTTTAAAGAAAAAAAGAATTTTAAAATAAATAATTGTTTAGGCGTTTACTGTGTAAAAAGAATTTTAAAATAACTAAAGTAATTATTAAAACATTTTGTAATTTATAATTCTTTTATATCAAACAGAAAAATGCAAAATTGTTCTATGAGAAGCTGAATACAGTAAATGGATTACACCCTGTCATGCCACAAGGAGCTATGTATATGATGGTAAATACTGTAATCTCTCTTATGTTTATTAAGTTTAAACAATTTTAACAAGTTTAACCATTTTCAAAACAGTTTGGTTATGTAAGTTGAAATGTCTCATATTAAATTTACAGTTAATATCTTAATGTATTTCAGGTGGGGATTGACATGGAACATTTCCCTGAATTCAAATCGGATGTGGAATTTACTCAGCGACTCATCACAGAGCAAAGTGTTTTCTGCTTGCCTGCAACAGTAAGTCTATTTTTACATTTTTTTACTGTAACTTTCTCTTTTGTCCATTAGTCAGAGTTTTTTTAAAGTAAATTACTCTATATTAAGATGAAAGCCAGCAGCTGCACCAAAATATTTGATAATTTTCAGAAACATTAAAACAATGAAGAAAGCTGCAGTTAATAATTTAAAAAAGAAAATTGTTGTCAATTCCAGAAATAAAATCTATAAAAATTATATTCATAACTTTGTTAAAAAACATAAAATTATCATTAAAAAACCTCCTTAGATAAGTAAAACAAACTATATAAATTTTAGTCTTTAGAAATAAATTTAATAATAATTAAATATTTTTCCTACTTTTTATTTATTTATTTTTTTATAACACATTCAAATTTTCTGAATATCATTCTAATCCATTATAGTTCCCACAGATTTACTCCAAATTTTAAACATAATTCCTACACTACTTTTCACAGTGCTTTGAGTACCCGAATTTCTTTAGAATCGTGCTCACCGTGCCCACAGAAAAAGCCTCAGAAGCCTGCGACAGAATTCGGGCCTTCTGTGATGAGCATTACCACCCCCTCTGTGCAGGAACAAACCTAAAAGAAGGAATTTCTAATGGTCATTCTGTGATAGGTTCTGTATATAAAAATGGCAACTGTCTAGCCAATGGAAATGGGGTGCCTTGTCAGGACACTGAGATTATTTATAAGAGTGTCAATGGGAATGGGTGTATAAATGGGAATGGCATTGCTCCAAGGATTGAAAAAAGTCATTAATAGACAATTTCACTGTTTTAAATTATAAGATCTGATATATATATACACATATATACATACTTATGTACATATATATACACATATTTACATATATAAACAAATAAGTATATATATATATATATATATATATATATATATATATATATATATATATATATATATATATATATATATATATATGTATATATATATATATGTATATATATAGAGTAAGTTTATTCCATTCCACACTGCTTGAATTTATACAAATAATCATGCTAAATTTATTTTTGAATCTCAAAGTTGTTGACAAATAGTTAATCTAGAAATTTTTCAATGTATGGCCCATGTAATTTTTTTGTAAATAAAATAAACCAAGTTGTAGCCTTCCATTTGGAAAAGCAAAATAATGTCAAATCATTGCTACTCACTGTGGTACTATTAATTCATACCATTGTTAAGTGATTGATTTTAATTTTTCTGTTGGTAGATTTTTAACAGAAATATAATTTGATTTTAGTACTTATGATGGATTTCTGAGGTTTTTTTTTTTTAAAACTTCACAGATATAAATTTACCTTCTATTTTAAGCTAGTTTGTTTTTACCCCTGCTTACCCAAATGTTGATTAGCTTGCAAAATTTAAATGTATTAACATTAAAAAGAAAGATATTTTTTCAAGTTATAGGTTTAAAAGAAAAGTTTGATTCTGGGTTTTTTGGTTTTGAGCATATTAAATATAGTTTTTAGAATGCACTTCTTTATAAGAAACATAGTAAAGATAGATTATACTAGCTTTTATCTTTTACATATAGACCCAGCAGAAGCATTAGTTAGTACTTGCATTCAAATACTTTTTTGAATGAACCACTAGTTAGTGCTATGTATAAATGTATATTTTTGATGTGCAAGGTTTTTCATTGCTACTGGCATTTAGTTTTTATTTAACCATGCTTCAGTATTTACGGTTTCCCCTTGAAAAGGGCAAGCCTGGAATACCTGTGAAATGTTTTCCTGAACTTGTTTTAATTTTTAAAAGCTTCAACTGTGTTTAATTACAACTTGATTGGTAGAGAGTTTTCTCTCTTTTAAACATCAAACTTACATAGTTGATCCCGGTTGTGTATATTGACATTGTGTATATTGACATCGTGACGGCCTTTTTTGTTTTTGGCCTTTTTGTTTGAAACATATTGTCAGTTGACAACAATGGCTCAAGATTATTTATGCAACAATGACATTTTTATTAGAAGGAAATAAAGGTGTAAATAAAGTTAATTATTTATTTTGAGTTAAATTTGTAACTTTTTTCTTTCTTTATGGACATAACCATCTTAGGAGGTGTCTCCCATTAGCCAGGTAGGCCTCAACATGGCAAACTCCGACTGGCTATTTTGATTTCCATGTATTGTCGTTTCTGTCCTTCGGTTCTAACCAGGGCTATTTTCCACTCAACTAACAAACTGCCCACTAAACAGTTCTCTTCAATCTAAAAGCTTTGTATTACTCTAGTTTGGAAATGCCAAACTAATAATATACAGTGAGGGGGAGGGTAAGGTGCAGTAGTTCACTTTTTCTACATATACACCTCTAAGACTTTTTTTATAGCATGTAGGTGGTATTTTTATTCTTAAACATCCTAGGCAGGTATTATCCAACATAAGAACGTTCTTAAAAATGGGAACAACTGACAAATTTATAGCAGTTTCTTTAAGGTGTTTGGTAAACTCTGCTGTCACAAAATTGTAGATCAGTTGAACTTAATTTAACATTTTAAATCTTTGAACATACACAGGCTTTTTACTACTTTTTAACCTGAGCAATTTTCATTCTTGGCACTTATACTTAGGTAAATAACATAAATGAAATTGATTTGCAAAGAAGTATACACATCACATTTCTCACTCCACTTTATTACAAAAATTACAGTAAAAAACATACTGTACTCAACGCTTTAATTTTTTAAATAAATGCAACATACAACAATATAAATACAACACTCATGTTTTTGATTCAAGTAGAATTTATAGCATCTTTTTTTTCTATGCTGAATATTCCATGTAAGATTCCTATAGGAACAAATCATATAAAATTATTTTATTCCACATGCAGTTAGAGTAACTGTATTGAAAGTAAAGCAACTATGCACACATTTTAATGTTAAATCTCAAAGTAGTTTTTTCTCTCTTTAGAATTCCATAACTTTATGAGTTATTAAAAAAGACATCCTGAGTGTAAAATTTTCATTAAAAAAAACATTTCCTACAATCCCAAACATTCAACATCATTCATGCTTAAAGATTCATCTCCTAAACAACAAATTATCCCCCCGATATATTAAAAATATTATGACGAGTCCATCTCATATGAAGGCCCGTCATCTTTTTCACCCTTCTCGTCGCCAGAGTCTGCCCCCTCGTTCATACTCTCCTCCTCATCCTCATCATCATCCTCCCCACTGTCGTCGTCATCTGAATCCTCATCGTTGCTGTAGTTCCCCTGCTGGGCGTGGCCGGCAGCGCCCTGGTCCCTGCTGATGGGGTAGGCTGTGATGCCCATGGCCCCCCTGATGGCCTTGGTGCTGACCACATCACCAGGGTGGACATGCTTGGTCATGTTCATCAAGTTACTGGTCACCTTGTCAGCTGAAAACACATTTTATCATAAAATTTCAGAAATAAAAAGGAGTACATATTCATATAGGGGATGGTGCGGTTAGAGAAAGGAGCATTTGACTCATTACCTGAAAGTCTGGAATTCGGATCCAGGGTTTGTGTCAATATAACATCCTCTGAGTCCACCCAGCTCTAATGGGTGACTGACTCAAGTTGGGGAAAGTAAAAAGAGACTGAGCATAGTACTGACCACACTATCCCTTCTTATGCAGAGGTTACTGAAACAGGTGAACTCTACTTCACCTGCTCCCATGGACTGTCGGGTTCAGAAAGGCTTTTTAACCTTTTACTTACTTACTCTTTCAGATGAGATAGTACTTGGAGAAAATGATGTTGTCTTCATCTGCTGCTTAGTTCTCAGTATATAAAAAGGATAACATGATAAGAAAAATGCCAAGCTGCCTTTACATTCCCAGATACAGCTATCTCATAGAGTTGGGAGGATTCAGGGACTCATGCCCTATGAGAACTTGATTTTTGTGCTGTGATCTATCTACACGCCTCAACATATATAATTAATGTTGTAAATATAAATAAAAATTGCCTCACCTAAATCAGCCTCTTTATCAGATGGTGGTGAAATATAACAAAGGTGTGGGGGTGGGTCCTGACTCAGCCGCTCGTTCTGTGTCTGTGACAGCTCAGACAACATGGCCGCTGTCTCGTTCAGTTTGTGCTGGACTGGATCTTTAGCTGCAGACTGCTCAGCTTCTTCAGCTGCCTGGTGAATCATTTTTTAAACTGCTAGGTTAGTAAGTCTTTAATAAAGAATAGATTTTTTAAACTGCTAGGTAAGTTAGTCTTTAATAAAGAATAGATTTTTTAACTACTAGGTAAGTAAGTCTTTAATAATGAATAGATTTTTTAAACAGCTAGGTAAGTAAGTCTTTAATAAAGAATAGATTTTTTAACTGCTAGTTCAACAAGTCTTCAACAAGGAACAGATTTTTAAACTGCTTGGTAAATAAGCCTTCAATAATGAACAGATTTTTAATGGCTAGGTAAATAAGCCTTCAATAATTAACAGACCTAAAGGGGGCGCCAAACTGGATAAAGAAATTTATTAAAAGCTGATTCTAAGCAGCATTACTCAATTATTCAAAGTCGAGTTTAAGGAAATAGACTGCTAATTAGAATTACTGACTTATTTTTTTTTTACATCGAATGTGTGACACTGTAATAAAAAGTGACTGGTAAAAAGCACCCCTAAGTTTTTTTTAACAACCCAAAAATTAATGTATAAGTTGGGTGGGGTGCAAAATTGATAGTTTGCGCCGGGCGCTGGAAAGGTCGCTACGCCTCAACATTTATAAAAATAATAGAACGAGTATCTATATATATAATTCTCTTCTGGGATCAGTTAGAAAACAAGCTGCAAGCGCGCCTTTGCAGTCCCCTCTCTTCCTCTCTATCACTACCACCCCCACCCCACCCCCACATGATCTGGTGAGCGGTGTTCACTCTGTTTACATTTTACAATCATAGAGACGGGTTTGGTGACGGCTATTAGGGGCAGATAATTGAGTTTGAAACGATTTTAAACTTAGAGGAGGTAACTAAGAGGAGGCTGCTATCAAGTAAGTGTTAATCTGTATGTGATCTTTTACTTACAAGAAGCATGTCAGGTACCCATTAAAGCTGGATGAACTCTGGGACATCCTTTAAAACATAGTGAATTAAAAAAACAAAATGTGACTCACTTTTTGAGCTTTCATTATCATTTCATCTTGCAATGCTCTTTCTGCTTGTTCCTCCTCTTTCCTTTTCTGAAAAGAAAACATAAATTTTTGGTCCAAAATTACATGGTACAAAACTGATGCTGATTCACAAAGTTGTAAGTTAACTTATTATGAAATACTGTCCACCAGTCTTTGGCTTGTAGATAGCTGAGCAAATCTACCTGTTGTTCTAGCAAGACACGAGACTTAGAATGCTGCCCATTGGTCAAGGTGTCAAGCAGCCTGTCCACCATCTCCACTGCGCTGATGCCTGCATTCTCAACAAATTTTTGAACACTGCAGAAAAAAATAATACACGAGTTTACAAATTACTCTTTAAAAAAAAAGTATTTCCAAATTGTTCATTACAAAAAAAAAAAACAAAAAAAAAAAAAAACAATTCCCAAACTGTTCATTATAGAAAATAAATTCTCAAATTCTTTAATGTAAAAAAATAATAATTCCCAAACTGTCTGTTTGCAACAATTAAATTCTTGTATTTTTCATGAAAAATATAATTCAGGAACCTTGCAATACGACTAATTCTTAATTTTAAAAAAATTTACCCCCATTTCACAAATTTCACAACAAAACTAATAATTCTTAAATTATTTATCACAATTTTTCATAATGAACCATTTTCAAAATACATCACCACATATTTCTTTGTTTTTAAAATAGTTATGGGTAAATGAACTAAAAATGAAACATCACCTTTTAGCATACTGCACACCAATCTCTCCTCCATAAGTACTCAGCAACAGATCTGATTCCTCTTTGGTACAGGATGCAAAAGATGAGTCATATGCTGGAGCATGGGAGCTGAAGGGGCCATAGCACAGATAGGTTTCTGTTGAAAGATCAAGGGACAAAACTCACTTCAAGGGGACAATACAAACACTATGATGAATTTAAAAAAACATTATCTAAATCATCTGTTTAAAGGGACAGAACTCACTTCAAGGGGACAATACAACAAACACTATGATGAATTTAAAAAAACATTATCTAAATCATCTGTTTAAAGGGAGAACACTCCCTTCAAGGGGAGAATATGAACACTATGATCAATTTAAAAAAACATTATCTAAATCATCTGTTTAAAGGGAGAACACGCCCTTCAAGGGAAGAATATGAACACTATGATGAATTTAAAAAAAGATATCTAAAGCTTTTATCTAGTTACAAATGTAATAAAGGATGGTAATTTTTTCAAGAAAAAAGATCTTTAAGAAAGAACACTATTTTTTAAAAATAGTTTGTAACAATAATCAATGTTAGCCATTCTTTTCCTGCTGTTATGTAATTGGTAAAAATTGGGGTTGAAGTCTGTGAAACGTCCCTGAGTCCACCCAGCTTTGATGGGTACCTGACTCACATTAGAGAAAGTATAGGTGGCTGGGCATAGCGCTGACCGCACTATTCCTTTATATGCAGAGGTCATAGAAACAGGTTAACTCTACATCACTTGCCCCATGGACCATCAGGTTCAGAAGGCTACTTTACTACTACCATGTAATAGTTAGGGTTAAGATTAAGGCCTATGCTACACTGTAGGTTAGCTACCAACAAGTGATAACTTTAATATATTCCTTACTGTACCATGAAAATATAATAATAAAATTATTTTATTTTGCTCTACTAAAATATTACAAGGTTTTGAAAGTGGTATGCAGTCAAATTAAAATGAAAACGGTGAAAATGAATAGTCTTATTAAAAAACAGATAATTAAAAGTTTAAAACATACCTGGACAGACTTTATTTCTTTTGTCTTCTTTAAATTTAAACAGAGATCCGGATCCACTTTTTAGTTTACCCATATAATCACCTAGGCTGATTACTTTCTGTGTGGAACTTACTGTAAATATGAACATCCCAAATGTACACATTTGAACCAGAGAGTAATTATATGAGATACAATAATTTTTTTTTTACCTACATTAAACAATAAATAATTTCCTGATTAAAGCTAAATGCTATGTAATAAAGAATTATAAACTAAGCAAAAGCAAGGTTAAGTGGTAGTTCACACAACTCCTATCTCTATAAGCTGGCTTGTGGTACTGAGTCTATACTTTGCTAACCACACAGCTAAGGTCACAGAAATAGGTGAACTCTACTTCTTCTACCTTATTGACCATCAGGTCTGTAAAAACGGTACTTTCCTCTGACTTTAAATAAACCCATATACAATCGTAAAAAGACATTTTCAGACCAGACCATCCATAGGCAACAGCTGTCTATGAAGCAGCTTTGCCACCTAATAATACATGAACAGCAGATGTTTTTTTAAATGGTGCTAAACATCACATCATTTTAGAGCAGATCAATTGTCACATCTTCATATTAAACAGCTGTACAGACAAATTATACATTATACCAACTCCTCTCTACCTCATTGAAACCAGAGTAATTAATAGACCACCCCTGTTTCCCTCATATAAGTGCCAGAGGGGCTACTTCATTTTTACAAGCTTTTATTAAATGCACAGTCTCTGTATACACATCATCATGTTCATCAGGTGCACAATGGTTTTTAGTCATGCAACTCTATTGTAAATTTAAAACATTTAAAGTACTGAAAAAAAAATATCATAAAAAAAGTTTTAATAACAAGCTTTTATGTAATAATGCTCTAAAAAGTAGAAAATATATTATACACTACTATTTAAATAACTATAAAGAAAAGCGTGGGTCTCTTCTTAATTATTAGTAAAGGTATCCAATAGATACTAAAGTGATCCACGCTTTTCTTTATAGTTATTTAAATAATAGTGTATAATTTATTATCTACTTTTTAGAGCATTATTACATAAAAGCTTGTTATTAAAACGTTTTTTATGAATTTTTTAAACTATTATCTGTGGATTTCCAATTTCTTTATACATAGTGAGTTAGCTATTTAAATAAGAAAAAAAAAAACCCCAACCTATTCCATCATTCCATGGGTTGAGGATTGTCATGGAAGTGGTGCCATCTTCTTCTAGTCTCAAGAATCCCAGCTGTCAATAAAACATCAAATTTATTTAATTACTGTAAAGACACATAGATAGTTATTTTTATTCACACAAATAAATGGGACAAATCTGGTACATATCACAAGAAATTTATTTACAAATCAAAGGAAACCAACCTACAAATAAAAAGAAATTAAAAGTAAATCACTTTTACTATTACTGTGGAAAAACACAAAACATCAGCCATTAGATAAAGACATCAAAGACTGGGGATGGATTGGACATTCCCTGAGAAGGGAGGAAGATAATATTGCAAGAAAAGCTATGGACTGGAATCTCCAAGTAAGGAGAAAAGGGGGCTGGCCTAGGAAATCATGGAAAAGAACAGTAGAAGAAGAGGCAAGGAATGCAGAGCTCACGTCGGCGCAGAGAAGGAGAGCTGCCCTAAACCAAGTCATGTAAAGAGGTGGGGTTGCAGCCATTTGCTCCACAGGGGCCACAAAGGAATAAGTCAAGTAAGTCATTACTACAAGTAGGGGTCGGCGTGGTCGAGTCGGTAAAGCTCATGGTTGCTAAACCGAAAAGACTCGAGTTCGAACCCTCGGGCAGATGAGGCTCGTTAGCTGGGGACAGCCACTCTTCTAGGAGAGACAACTCCAAAATTAAACAACTGCTGCCTTGTAGTTTGTTCTTGGTTGGACAAAGGCTATGGAAGCAAAATCCAAAAAGTAAAGCAGGCTGAAATCGGAGTCAATGGCCTCAATGGCGCATAACCAGTTGACACGTAACGCTAAATTGTGTTTGAGGTGTGGTTGAGTCGGCAAAAAGCTCATGGTTGATAAATTCGAACATGCCTCGAGTTCAAACCCACTGGCAGATAAATCTTGATCCCCTTCAACACTAATAATTAAGAACGAAGAAGAAGAAGAAAGATTACTACAAGTGTTTAAAAAAACACAACAAAAACACAATAGGCAAAAAGGTAAAAGGGGCGTTACATCAGTTTTGGGTTTGCGTGTAGTCAGCTGATCATGGGCCCTCTGAGCCGCCTCACTGGCCTGCGCTAAAATTTCTTCTGGTGACAACTCGTCGTCTGGTATGACCTCATATTTTCCAACATCAACCTCAGGTCTGGGAGAAAATGAAACGAATAAATATCATAAACAGTAAAATCACATTCTCATTTTTTTACATGCATGAATTTGATTAATACTAATTTTACAACCATTAAAGAATTAGCTTTATAATATCCTACACTAGAAGTTTATGGCTAAAAATAGTTGAAAAGTGGGAAAATCTGTAGAAAAATCAGAGAAAAATTCCAATATGCGAGCACAGTTCAGTTAAGATTTTTCCTATGTGTGATGAGGTGGGGAAATTGCCTTAACATGTATGATGCCACAATTGGACTAAGTTTGTATCTGGAAATAGTTAGCTGGGGTGAACTATCAATTTTTACGTCAGAAAATGGTCTACATTTGGGTGCATAACAATGCACTTCAGCATAAAGGGGGCCTGTAAACTGAAAAGTCTTGGCTAACTTTATCCTATGAAGTTATCAGACAAGATCAAGATCAGCCTGTAACTTTTTAATAGTGTTCACCTTTAAAAATAAACTTTAAAATAAGAATAGCAGAAAAACATGCCAAGAAAAAAAAAAAACAAAAATTAACCAACTAAAAATATTTTTTTAATAACACTTTTTAAATTGGCAACTATTTTTAAAGTTAATCTTTTTCCTTTAGTTATTTATTTATACAATTTTTTAAACCGATAGACAATGGACAGTATTAATGGGAACAAAAACCGTAAAAAATCTTACTTTGGCTCCTCCCTGGGTTGGACCCTGGTTTCCTCTACAACTGGAGCGGGGGCTGGCTCGACCACATGCCCACTCTCATCAAAGCCCAGCTCCTGTAATGTGATGCTGGCTAGGAAACTCTGGGTCTTCTTCAGGTGCAGTAACTTCTCCTGTTAGAAAAACAATGCATTAAGTAAAAAATTAAAAGTTTTGAGGGAGGAAACGTTTGATAACTGAATGGGCAATATACCTACAATGTTCTTGAGAAGATTTATTTATAACAGATACAATTCTCATATCCAGCCTCAACTCTTTAAGACCAGAATGACAATCAAGCATTTAATCAGCAGACTGCCATATTGTAATAATAGGTCACTACATCAGTAAAGCAGCAACTTCAATTGTGTTTACTTCTAGTAAATTTTCCTTAAAGTAAAAAGTAAAGTTTCCCTTTAATACCTGACAGTCTATGGGGCAAGTGAAGTAGAGTTCACTTGTTTCTGTGACCTTGGCATATTAAAGTAGTTATATATATATTTTTTTTTTGTAAAAGCACTATGTGACTCTATTTAGCAGCCATATCTAAACAGTTAGGCTGCCATATAAAATTATTTAACGAAAAAGTATTCATTCTAATACTTATCTAAGCCATGATTTTAATAAAAAGTTAAATGTACTTTAGTTTTTTATGCATGTAAAATTACTAATATAACTTTTATCATAAATTGTCCCAAAATAAAAAGGATTTTTCCTATGAAAAATTAGTCTTTTTGCTAGTTTAAAACTAAGTAATTTTTTACCTTTATTAAAAGATAAATAATTCCTTAAAAAACATATTACTGTTTAGGACATTCAAAAACAAAATTGAGGGAAAAAGATAATTCCAGTGTAACAGGAAAATAATTTCGGCAATTCAGGTCTTAAGGAGTTAAATAATGAAGTCAAATGAAACTATCATCATGATAGGCCGTAAATAATATAGTCAAAGGAAGATAAACTCAATTTTTTTTCTAGTTCTGTTATTATATATATTATTTTCTGTTATTCTAACCTCTATATAGTTGACTTTCCACATGCTAGTTCAACAGTGAGTATCATCATGAACAGTCATTTTACTTTTCATACCAGTTGTTGCTGTCAACAAGCCTGGGCCATGAGTAAAGCAGCTACCAAAACTAAAGTGATCCAAAAGTCCTACCTTACTGAGCTGCCTTATTCCAATATGTAACAGCCGCTTGGCTTCTTTGTAGTATATAGTGTCTGGCCGGTTGTATGTCATGGCATTATTGCACATTAAAATAAAGTCTTTCTGTGGAGTAAAATTGTGATGACTTTAACAAGACCTCTGGGCAAGATCATTTCTTATGATTATATAATTAATCTATAATAATTTAAGAAAAACAAATTTCTGGTTAAACATTACTGCTAATCCTGATGAGACATTGCAACAATTTTAATCCAAAATTTAAAATGACACATAAATTTAACAACTACCTTTTGTTTTTAATTACTCCCTAAAGTTTTCAATAGTGAATATTAAAAAGAAAATATTTATGTATGCCCCTATTTCGTTGTTTGACTACAAAATACAATGAAAAAGATTTGTTTAGACCATATAGTGAAACTACCTAACTCCCATTATGTTTAAAGGCCTACTTTAAAATCCATAACATTGGAATATTCACAAGCTTCAATTTTCGCTGCCATTGTGCTGAAGTCCATGGGGTGTACTATAATGCTAGAGTAGCCTGGGGCGATGCTGTCAGTTACAGGAAATGCAAAAAACCCATTTACATCTTTGCTGAAATGGAGTAAATCATATAAGGAGTAAGTCAAAGAGTTTTAAAATAAATTTTTTATAACATATTTAAAAAAGATGTAAGCTCATTTCCTTAGTAACAGCGAATAGACAAAAGTAAATTAAAAAGTAATTTCTTATTTCAGGGATGTAAAAGAAATATAAAATATAAATACTATTGAAATGCAAAAAAAAAAAAAGCAAAAAAAAAACCACACAACTAACTTCTGTAAAATTTTGATTAAATGATTCAACATCTGCTTCAGGATTATGCCATCATTGTCCTTAAGCGTGCAGGATCGCGGCTCACGCAGCTTTCTGCCAGGGGATAAATTCCCATCTGAGTACTCATTGTCGCTTGCTGTCCTTGCCATGGAGTCTTCTCTCACATGATCATCTTCATCCTCATCATCCCCTTCACTTTCATCATCATCATGCTGTCGCTTAGACGACATCTAGTAAAAAAGTAAAGTTTCCCTTTCAAACCTGACAGCCTATGGGACAAGTGAAGTAGAGTTCACTTGTTTCTGTGACCTCGGCATATGAAGAGATAGTGTGGTCAGCACTATGCCCAGCCGCCTTTACTTTCCCTCACGTGAGTTAGGTACCCATCAGAGTTGGGTGGACTCAGGGACGGTCTGACTTGAACCCGGATTGGAACTCAGTCCAGCTCTCTACCGCTAGACCACTCTGTCCCACTGACAACATCTAGTACATGGAGTAATCAATCTGGTTTACTTACTACTTCTTAATAAATTGTGATTTAACATATTTTTACAAAATATTCATTAAATTTAACATTCAAACTACCACCTAGGGTTTAGTTCACTCTAATTGCACTTGATAGGCATGAGCAATGATCCTGAGTCTGACAACAAGATGTAGAAATGTGCACATCTCACACCCATATTGTCAGCTACTAATGACCTGTTAATTGCCAACAGGAATTTCATTCCTTCACCAGGTGTGCTGCCCTACATGGTAAGACATGAGATGATGACCTACATGCTTAAGCCGTGATGACCTACATGCTTAAGCCGAGATAGGCAAATTTTAAGTTTACCTAAGCTCAAGTATGAACTTTTTTAATTACTTAAGATCAGATAGGTGAAGTTTAAATTTACATAAGCCCAAGTAGGAAAATTTTTAATTTACCTAAGCCCAGATAGGCAAATTATTTACCTACACCCGGATAGGCAAATTTTAAATTTTCAGTGCTGAAATAAAAATGTGGTTTAAGTGGCTCTTAATGGTGATTAAAAATAACAAATTCAGCAGTGAAATTAGCATTATCATTCTAACTTATTGCTGATTAAAAAAAAATGCCCATTTTACAGTAACGTCAGCTTTACTTCTCTCAAAAGGAATAGGATGGCGATGGTATAAATCTTCCTTTCTCACCTAACAGGACATGGCAGAATCATGAATGACTCTTTCTAGTTCTTTTACCTCATCTCTGGCATAGCGGGACCTTTCCCTTTCACGATCATTGGACTTTTTCTTCTTCTTCTTCTTATGTTTGTGTTTCCTCTCATCAATCTGTGCAGGCGATGCAGTGGTCTCTGGGAAGGATTCCTGACTAGGACCGCCACCAACTTTTATATTTAATTTTAGCTTTAAAGGCTTCTCTTGTGCACCGTCTAATAATTTAAAAAAAGAAAAAAAAAACCAAAGCCGATGTTGCGGTTAAATTCAAATACAGATGGTTTTACAAACTGTGGTTCATAAAAATGTACAGTACATTAATTTAAATTATCTAAATAAAAAAAAAATAATGATGTCATACTCCTTAATAAACATGAAAATCATGACATTTTTAGTTACAAATAGTTGTTAATGATTTATTTGTACTCTTGTATTTCAATATAATAATTACTGAAATACTCTGTCGATTAACTTAGTCCAATTATCATTACTAGTAATCTTTTCACTTTTGTATATTCAGGGTTCATGCTCCAAAACTAAAAATTAATTCCAAGAGTTTTCCAGGAGATTTAAATAAATTCCAGGAGATTTTAAAATAAAGAAAGTGATGGAAAATGTTATAGAACTAGATAAGCTTAAATTAGAAGGGGTATACTAATTATTTTAAGCGGTGTTTTGGAAGTACTTGAAAAAAAACATTGGAGCAAAAAATTACCACTTTGATAATAACCAAACCACATCGTTATTTATGCTTTTAGCCTAATAGTAGTAGTAGAGTCAGTAGACTGCTTTTACAGTTTGTTGCCGGTATCTCCCCCCCTCACAAGAAACGTCACAGCAGGTATAACACTGCTATTTAAGATTGGCCATGACGTCATTTTTATTTTTCCTAAAACAAGCTGTATCAAACACAAACTGGGCTCGGCTAATGTATTTGTCCTTCAAAGAACCGTAATATTTTATAATAGATCTAGATCTACTTTTGAACAATTTTGTGCAAAAACATCAGGGGAAAATTTGGAATTTCGAAAGATTTAAAAATTTTTTTGGTAGAATTCCAGGAGATTTTTACAATTTCATGAGAATTTTAGGAGTTTCACGAGTTTTCCAGGACCTACTGGAATTTCAGGAGGCCACATGAATCCTGTATATTGGTTCACATAGCACACAGTCTCCTTCTTGATATCATCCCCAAGCTGCCCCTATAAGAAATAAACGGAACATCCCTTAATGTATCTTAATTCTTAAAGATGGACACAGTAGCCAGATTTGTTTTATAATAATCTATAGGCCCTATTTATAATTCTCTTCATGGTGACCATAGAAAACACCACGCAGCTTAGCCACCACCCTCATCCCCACTCGTCAAGTGAGCTGTGGTTCACCCTGAGTGTTTACAATAGTAGAATTGGTTCGAATATGTGACGGCTATTAGGGGCAGATAATTTAGTTTTTAAACGATTTGAAACTAAGGAGAGATAATTGACAATACGTTCTGCTTGATATTTTCATTGTCGTCTGTAAACGGCTGCTTTCAATGGGCGGGGTGGGGTGGGGGAGGCAGGGGGTGTGGTAGTGTCGAATTCACAAATTATGAATTGTTGATAAGTAGAAAATAAAACAAGCTATGTCGTGGGCCCACTCGTAGAATTATAAATGCACTGAAAACATGAAAATAAAAACAAAGTTGCTTTCTTTAATAAAAGTTTTGGTAGCTCATAAAATCCTCTTATTTTAGTATTAGCAAGCAATGCTATTTGACTTGCTAGAATAGTTCATGAAAATTAGGTCCCAAATAACTACAGGCCCTTATGAAGCCTAGAGTGTAACTGTAACCAGTAACAAAGCAACTTCAAACATGTAACACCGCGTTTACACTTATGACATGTATACTAGACTTGACCTACTAAAGTGTTTTCTAAACATGTTACGAGTATATGTAACATCTTCTGAGTCGTAGGGCACAAAACCACGCCCTTTTTATGTTCTGGGTCAAGTTTTTTTCTTCGCTTACTGGGTGACAACATTGGACATGTTCTGATTTTTCAGCTGAGTTTGTATGCGTCGAAAAGTAGTAAGTGCATCCTAGGTATCAGCTGATTGCAAAATTAAATATACTGATCTTGAGTTTTTGAGCACACGATTTCATGATTTATAACTTCTCTAGGAGCTCAGAGTTCGAACCCGGGGTTACCTCCGCCGGTACTTTTTTTTAAATTTTCAATATGAAAAAATGACGTAGACTATGATTCTTTTTTTTTTTAATAAAATTTCGAAACATCGTCACTGTCGTGATTGCTTGCCTTACGTTTACTATCCCGTGAGTGGAAAATCCCACCACGGCGAGGTCACTTTGAGTTCAGCAGGCCTAAAGCATACGTCATAGACGTTCACACGAGATCGTCTGTCTTCACTTCTCTCTTCCTCCCACCCCCCTCAAGCAAATTGAATATTTTTTTTTAAGTTCACATAGGATAAATAATATAGACTTAGATCTACTATCACGCATGCTAGATAGCTAGGCCTAAAGGTTAAAGGACAGTTTGATTTAGCTAGGTTGCTGCTAGATCTAGGACTATCATCTGACCCATCTGACCTCACAAACTTTCCTTGACACTACACTGTACTGTTTTTTTTACAAGTACTAGACTCTTAGGTGTTGAAATAATATAGAGATCTAAATACACTTAAACTCGATCTAGATCTATGTCAACATTAAATTGTTACCACGAAAAAAAAATAGGGCAGTCCTGATATCTGTTTTTTTTAGATCGCGTGCCACCTAAGGTAAAGATTAAGTGTAAAACGGAGCGAACTGCACAAAGGCGGCCTTACGGGTAACGCAGAGCGAACCGCGCAAATGCGGCCTTTTTTTTTATAGGCCTACTTTGATTACTTTTTATTTTAATTATCTGGGCCTTTGTAGCAGGCGCTCCGGGTCAAAGGTGATGCATGTTTTATAAAATGATCTATAACATGTTCTGTAAGTGTGAACGCTAAAGTTTAAAGTATAGCCTACACTACATGTTCTGTGGATAAAATTAAAATTGTTCCAGATAAAAATAATTTTTGGCGGGCAATGTGTTCCAGAAATGTATAGTATAGTATACATGTCGTAAGTGTAAACGCGGTGTAAGAATGTAAGATTTATATTAGGCCTAATTAATAAATTATTAATTATTTAATTAGGCCTAACTCTCAACTGTCCCGAAAAAACTTTACACTCAACACTGAGAATCCTTACCGGTACCGTCTGTTTCAATGGCATTTCTACTATCCGACTTGTGCTTTTTGTGCTTTTTACTCCCCATTTATTCCAGGATTTAAATAACCGTTTTAAAAGTAGTTGGATTTAATTTTTAAGTGTATTTACTAATTTAGATCTAGATTTCTAGATTCTATTTAGATCTAGATCTAGTTAGTTGATCACTGAATTTGATTGTTGTAGTTTACTAGAGCTCTTTTCTTTTAGAGTTATGTTTATTGAAGTCTATGAAAAGAAAGCAAAGCAGCACAAAAAATGATGACGTCATACAGGTTAGTTTTTGTATCGATGGCCTTTATATTATACCTTATGCAGTATCCTAGATCTCTAACTAAATGAAATGGTAATTCAGTTAATGAATATTTTTTTTGTAGTATGAAAATATTAAGTATAAAAAAATGTGACATGTTTTCACTCTCTCCCTACTCTATACAACGTTAGTTTTCGTTGGCCTACATCTATAACATAACACCGACCTTAGTGACAAATAAATTAATTAAATTAGGCCTAGAGAAAATAATGCGATTTCGAGTTTGCTTTAAAGGATTTGTTAGTTGTCTTTGACACAATGGTTTAAACCACATTATAGAGGGAACGGGGTGGTCTTTCCAAATACTATCATCTTTATTTTTGGTCGGGTTGTTAGATGATGGATTCACACTAGCAGGTACCAGTGATACAATATGTAATGACGGTAAGGGATGGTGTTCGGAGGGACATCAAAATGAATAATGTACAGTGTTTCTTCCACTTTTTTCTCCAGGGGCGCACTTGAAATTTTCGGGGGGGGGGGGGGGGGCAGACAACAATTTTCGGGGGGGGGGGGGGCGGACACTGTCAAAAGTATATATTTTCTATATAAATTCTATTTCGTTGGGGGGGGGGGGGGGGAGTGGGGGGGGGGCGGTAGACTTTCTTCGGGGAGGCCCCCCCCCCCCCCCCCCGAAGAGATGCCTGGGAGAAACTCTGACAATGTAGTCCTGCGACTACACGTTTCAAAAGATAAATAATATTTTTTAAAAACCTTTCTTCTTCGCACTAAATTGTAATAGTGAATGGAATTTCCTCCAAAACAAAGAAATATTACAAGCCAACATCGAATTCTGTATGTGGCTCGTTGACTCCTACTACGGTCTGTTTTTCTATCTGGATTCGCTTCCATAGCGATTGTCCACCCTAGTGACGTCATTATTTCAACACCTTAGTGACGCCCTTACTACAACACCCTAGTGATGTTCCTATTATTTTAACACCATAGTGACGTTCTTACTTCAACACCTTAAAGACGTTTCTTAATCCCAACACCCTATAACGTTCTTATTTCAACATCTTATAGTGACGTCCTTACTTCAACACCATAGTGACGTCCTTACTTCAACACACGGGGGGGGGGGGGGGTGAGAGTTTGGATGGACTCCCACATATTGAAATTAACATGGAAGTACTGACATTTTAAAACAAACATAAAACTCTTGTCCTGCTAAAAAAAAAGTAAAGTTAAGACATGAGTACTAGTGTTTTTTTTAACGAACAAACCCAGATCATCATAAAATGGGGTTATCCATACTATAAACGACGTCAAGATTTAACCCCCCCCCCCCTCCGCCTCTCCTTTACCAACTTACACATCATCACCCCCGGAGCCCACCCGAAAATTTTAAGTGCCCCCCCCCCCCCAAGTAACAGTGCACATGGTGTTGTTTGGTTTTATAACAGTGAAATATTGGTGGATTGTATCTTGGGTTTTGTATATGTAGTATAAAGGGTAGGAGAAAGGCCTGTGACAGGTTTGTAGTTGGAGTCTATTTTCCCTTCTGTTATCGTATACACTTAATTCTTTTTAATGTCAAATTTCGTGAAATTAATATAGATCTATTTGTTTCATGAGAATTTCAAAGAACAATTTTTTAGTGCCATTATTTTTACTTTCTCGTATATACGAAGTATAGAGAAAGTCTTGTAATCGTGCAAAAAAAAAAAATCGAGATTTTTACAAATCTCGACGTTTTACACCTCACTGATACGGAAAAACATAATTTTGCAATCTTGTCCGTATGTCTGTGTGTCTGTGTGTGTGTGTGTGTGTGTCTGTGTAAACACGTTAACTTGAGTACCGTTACAGCTAGGTTGATGAAATTTCATATATAAGTATTTTATCAAAATCGTAGATCCGTATCAGCTTTAGAGCGATTTCCGATAACCGGAAGTGGCACTTTTTCTATTTTGAAATTTTCAAAAGCCTATAACTTGAGTACTATTTCAGATAGATAAATGAAATTTTGAGTAATTTCCGTTGACCGGAAGTACTAATTTTCGCTATTACCGATTTCTCTAAAAACGCATGTAAATTTATAAAGTACTAATAATATTGCGCACTATTATGCACATTTCATTTGGCGTTCACTTGGTGTGCAATTCTTTTTTTCTACGAGATTTTATTCTATTTTAAAAACTTTAAGTATTTAAAATGGAGTTCCCATCCCCTGTTGTTTTATATAAGAATATTCGAGAAAGTTTAGGGGAGATCACTCCCGGTTTATTCTATTCTCCTAGCAGTAGGCATGCAATGTAATGTTCCGCACCGTGGTGAAGCACGGGTACGCAGCTCGTGACTATTGCGCACTTCGCGCGAAGCAGGCATTTTCGATGAATAGTTCGCACTTATTGTAATGGACGCATAGCGTTTAAAGTTCTCGATCAAAGATGGATGAGCCGCGAATAAGATTCAAAGCTAACGCCATTCACACAGCTTTTGTGATGCTAACCCTGACCATCATAGCTAAAGCGGGTAAAATAAACAATCGAGTAGTGAATAGAGCTGAGTAATTTAACCTTTTTAGGCCCTCTTTTGATTTATAGTATAATATCTAGTTTGATAGGTCTACTAACAAATTTAGATCTAGATTCTAGATCTAGTCTTGATTTCTAGATCTATTTTTGCTATAGAGTAGGCAGAGGTGTAGCGACTCCTGTAGTCCGAAAGCGTTCTTTATCTAATTTCGGTCTAGGACAGGGGTCGGCAACCTGCGGCTCGCGAGCCGCATGCGGCTCTTTTGACGTCCAGATGCGGCTCTTCAGCTCCTTGCACAAATATTAATAGTTCTATAATTTCATTTTTACTGGACGGTGGGGTACGACTTTACCCTGCGTTCAGTGGGGTGGAAGATAAGCCTGGTGAGAACCAAAGGATAGAAGCGAACGATGCAAGTTATTCAAACCGATATCCACGCCAGTTAGTCGGCGTTTGCCGTGTTGAGGCCTGACTGGCTAATGGGAGACACCTCCTGAGCCGGTGATATCCGTAAAGAAAAAATAAATAAAAATTAACAGCTTCTATAATGGAAATTGAGATAGTCCTAAAATAATATTATTTCATTACTAGTTTTACTATTCTGGCGAAACATGTCTATGTTTTTATATGAATAAATATTATTTCATATTTAAAGCTATTTATTTTAAATAACAAATCAACTTTATTTACCTAATCCTAATCAAATACCGAATATTGAACTAAAAATGTTGTGGCTCTTTAAAAACTGGGAAAGTTTGTAAATTGTAACTTTTGGCTCTTGCATATCAAAAGGTTGCCGACCTCTGGTCTAGGACAAATACCCGAATGACACTCAGTGTTTCTTCTTGACGTTTTTCTCCGGGGAAAGGGGGGGGGGGGGGGAGGGGGGTGGAAAGCACTTGAAATTTTCGCGGGGGACGGGGACGGGACGGTAGACTTTCTTCGGGGGTGAAGGTGGGATGTGTGTGTGGGGGGGGGGGGGGGGAAAGCCGAACCCCCCCCCCCCCCCCCTGTCCCGAAGAGATGCCTGGAAGAAACTCTGATGGTACTTGCCCGAAGGCCGTTTTCCCGAATGAATGTTTGCCCGAATAGACGACTGCCCGAAAATATAATAAATAGCCAAGCCAACTTAGCAGTCAGAGTTTCTTCCAGGCATCTCTTCGGGGGGGGGGGGGAGGGGGGGGGAGGGGGCTCTGCCCCCCAAAGAAAGTCTACCGCTCCCCGAACGAGATGGATTTTATATTATAAAAAATACACTTTTACTAGTGTCCGCCCCCCCCCGAAAAATGACCCGCCCCCCCCCCCCCCTCCGTCCGGAGAAAAAAGGCTGGAAGAAACACTGGTCGCAGTACTTCTAAAAAAAAATAATTTGTTTTCCTGTTTTGTTTTTGATGCATTTTTTGTTAGGTTGGAAAAAATATTCATATATCAGCATTATATCAAATATGTTGTTCTGTATCAACTTTTGAGCGATTTCCATTAACCTATAACTAGATCACCCTTAAAGTTAGGTAGGCAAAATATCACATATAAGTACTTTCAACTTTTCAACGACTTTCATTTACCGGTAGTGGTACTTTAAACTATTTCCATGTGAACACAATAATGTGAGTACTGTTTCAGTTACGCGGTCAAAATTTCATATATAACTACAAATATTATACTTGGATTTACTTTTGATCTTTGATCAAATAACCGGAAGTGGTAATTTACTGTATTTCTGGTTACTAAAATACCGAAAGTTTGAGTACCCGTTTCAGTTAGACTGTTAGATGGACGAAATTTTACACCTAGGTACAAGATCTTATTCTCTTAACTTTTCCAAATATTGAGTGATTTCCGGTGACCGGAAGTAGTACTTTACACTAATTCCAATTTAGAAAAAAAAATTCACTTTTAGCGGACAGATTTATTTTAAACATTTTACTAGGTTGAGACTCGACGCTAATGCAATTTGACATAAAATATCGCTTATAAATAATTAATCAATGTTTCTTTAATAAATACTAATTTTCCGCTCTAGTGTACACATTGTTTGCGTTCAATTAGTGCGAAACTATTTTTGTCTACTCTGTTTAAGTATTAAAACTTTAAGAAAAAAAAAACACATTTCTATAGCCGTAGCCCGATTGTACTGGAAATGCCATTCCCCATACTGTTATATAATAAACGGAAGTGATCTCCCCTAAACTTTCTCGAATATTCTAATTTAAAACTACGAGGGATGGCAACTCAGGACATAGACAATATTTGTAATCCATTTTTAATTACTTAAACTTTTAAAAATAGAATAGAATCTCATAGAAAAAAAGAATTGCGCACCAAGCGAACGCCAAAACCAAACTGTGCATAATAGTGCGCAGTATTATTAGTACTTTATAAATTTACATGCGTTTTTTTTGAGAAATCGGAAATAGCGTAAATTAGTACTTCCGGTCAACGGAAAATTACTCAAAATTTGACAGAAGGTAGAGAATTAGATCTTTTACTTACATGTGAAATTTCATTTATCTATCTGAAATAGTACTCAAGTTATAGGCTTTTGAAAATTCAAAGTAGAAAAAGTACCACTTCCGGTTATCGGAAATCGCTCAAAAGTTGATACGGATCTACGATTTTGATAAAATACTTATATATGAAATTTTCATCAATCTAGCTGTAATGGTACTCAAGTTATCGTGTTTACACACAGACTGACAGACACACTGACAGGACACACAGACAAACGGACAAAATTGCAAAAATTATGTTTTTACGTATCAGTGAGGTGTAAAAACGTCGAGATGTGTAAAAATCTCGATTTATTTTTTGCACGATTACAAGACTTTCTCTATACTTCGTATATACGAGAAAGTAAAAATATACGAGTAAGTTTAGGGGAGATAGCTCCCGCTTTATTTGTGAAAAGATCGGCACACAATACTTGTTTAATCAGAAAAAAAAGAACATAAATTTGCACGAAAAAATTAATTTCTTTATTGATAAGAAACACAAAATGTATTCAAAATGATGTTTTAGGCAGAGTTTCTTCCAGGCATCTCTTCTGGGAGGAAAGTCTAACCCCCCATATGGAATTTTTTTAAGAAAATATATACTTTTAATAGGCTGAAATTTCAAGTGTCCCCCCCCCCCCCCTTGAGAAAAAAAAGTCTGGAAGAAACACACTGGTTTTAGGTATTTCATCTCCTAGCTCATCAGTCACGTATTGCTATGTCGAAAATTTAGTTCCCATTTCTAAAAAAAAAACTTTTTATAACTACAGCTTCAGTTTATGAACTAATTTACAATGTTCAGATCCCGCTCAACTTCTTGAAAGGCTGAAAGGACAGGTCATGGCCTTGGTTTGGTGACTGTTACGCGAACTTGTGCCCTGATTCGACGAAAAATCCAACGGGAATGTTTTAACTTAAGGTAGTTGTGTATTGTCAATCGTTATATCGCAATTAAACAGTTTTTAAGCCTGTCTGTGTGCCCCTAGTTGCCTCTTGGCCTGCCTACAGGTCTGTCTGCTTGCTTACCTGTCAATCTGCGTATCTGCCTGTATAAAAAATTAACTAAGAGTTAACTGGTAATATCTCGCCATTTAGGAAAACGATCCTGATCAGTGTTTCTTCCAGACCTTTTTCCCCGGGGGGGGGGGGGCACTTGGAATTTTTTGGGGGGGGGGGGGGCGGTAGACTTTCTTCGTGGGGGGGCTTAAAAGTATATATTTTCTATATAAATTATATAAATTTCATTTCGTTCGGGGGGGGGGGGGGCGGTAAAAAATTTTCGGGGGGGGGGGGGGGGGCTTAGAGGAGATGCCTGGAAGAAACTCTGATCCTGATTCAATTCGGCCATCTATCCATGTCGGCTTTTCTCTGTAGTCGTACAGCTGTATTTTTAGCGTTACTTTTGTTTACTGATTTAACCTCGTTCATTTCAGACCACAGCCAGAGTCTATATTGGAAAGAGCAGGAATACCAAACACCATACAACTCACGACAGATTTAAAAGTTATATTTTCTAGCCCTAAAGGTAGGAGTAGCACTTTGTTCTGGTCTGGTCGGTATAGGATTGGGCTTTAGCTAGACCAGTGTTTCTTTCAGACATTATTGTCCAGGGTGGGGGTTGGGGGCATTTCGAAAACTTTTCTATTTGAGGATGTAGATGTGTGTGTGGTTCAAAAGTTTTCTGTTCGCTCCTTAATGCCTGGATTGTGTTCCAAGTGTGTACAAAATTATTTGAGCTGATTTTCGCTCCTTATTCTGAAACTGAGTTTGAGGTATATAGTTGTTTTTAAATTTGTCTAATCTATGATACTAATTACGGTATGTCCTAAAATCGCGAATTCGCGACATCAGGCACTAATTGACCAAATAGTAATTACATTTTTACTATTTTTTACTGACACGTTTTGTTCTAAATATCCGCGCACAAAAAAATAGAATATCGCAAACTAAAACATATGGACATTCAAGAAGATATTTAAAGACACACTTGTAAAATTAATAAAAACTATAGTTTTAGTAGCTCAGGCATAAAGTTACATAACTCTGCTGCACCTGCCCACTGCATACCTCTTATGAATGGGTACTTTGAAACCTTGCTGTCGTGGTTCTACTACACTACAGTAACACACTACATATTAAAGGACTTCCTCAATGTGTATAGCCTTAGTTGTCCCTGGTTACTCCCTTTTCGTAAACTCCTATTTAAGGTCAACTAATAAAGACTCAAATTTCTCATCTGACCTATATTTGCTATACACACCAAGCACGTGAACTAATACTGTACTAAATGACAGTGTTCAGCTGTTGTATATTCTTCCATGCTCAATGCCGCTGCTGTGGGTATTTAGTGTCACTGCTTTAGGTACTCACTGACTCTGTGCCACTGGTGTAGGTACTCACAACTATTGTTGATGGTACCCAATTTTTCTGATTTTAGTACTGCTGTTGTACTCGAATGATACTGCTACGGATTACCAATGGACAGTGCTGTAGCTACATATTGCTACTGGTATGGGTACTCAGTGCTGAAACAGTGGATACTGAGTGTTGAAGCCATGTGTACTGAGTGCTGAAGCTGTGGGTACTCATTCTTACTGCTGTCGGCTCTTGGTGTCACTGCTGTGGGTACTCAGCGCTGGAGCTGTTGGTAATCGATAACGTTGATATGGGTACTCAGCGCTGGAGCTGTTGGTAATCGATAACGTTGATGTGGGTACTCAGCGCTGGAGCTGTTGGTAATCGATAACGTTGATGTGGGTACTCAGCCTTAGCAGTGGGTACTCAGTATCACTGCTGTTGGTACTCAGTGCTGAAGTTGTGGGTACTCAATAACACTGCTGTAGGTACTAAATGCCAGTATAATGTCACTGATGTGGGTATTCAATAGCACTGCAATGGGTATTTCTGTCAGTATTCAACCTTACTGTATTTATCACGAGTTGTAGGTCTATGCTCAGTGTTATTATTGTCATGGTCACTGTAAAGACCTATCTTTGGGTGTATCCAGGATAGTGGTCCACCACCTCACTTCCTGTTGTCTATTTATTTGTTATAATCTCCTAATAGTTTACAATTCTATTTCAAAGCTAAATTCGTTAAATTATAACCAGCAGCATTATTACATTAGTCTAGCACACGCGACAAACCGTAACCAGAAGATAACTTCCTAAATTATTCTCATATGTGATTTATACTGTTTATTTACATAAACAAGTAAATAATAAAGTTATTAAAATTTTTTCGTAGTAAAAACGGACCACATATTTAGAGTGGCAGGACAAATGATCTCAGACAAAATATATCAGACAAAATATCTCACGGACAAATGATCTCAGGACAAATGATCTCAGACAAAATATATCAGACAAAATATCTCACGGACAAATGATCTCAGGACAAATGATCTCAGGATAAATGATCTCAAGGACAAATGATCTCAGACAAATTATCTCAGGACAAATTATCTCAGACAAAATATCTCAGACAAAATATCTCACGGACAAATGATCTCAGTACAAATGATCTCAGGACAAATGATCTCAAGGACAAATGATCTCACGGACAAAAGATATCAGGACAAAATATATCAGGACAAATGATACCCATATTTAGTAGTAATAATCAATATTAGTAGGCTAAATTTACAAAGTCAAAAAATTTACGATGCGCGTGAGTCAAGAGAGTGTGACGTCCATAAATTTCGACTTGACAACGTGACCATTGGTACCGATAGAACCGTCTGGATGTACCCAATACACAACGACCAGCAGCAGTAGGATAAATGTACCTATGCGCATATGTTAAGCGTTTTAGCGATAGTTAGGCGTTGTGATACAAAAGTTTTCTTTTAGAGGATGTAGATGTGTATGGTACAAAAGTTTTCTTTTAGAGAATGTAGATGTGTATGGAACATATTTTTTTTTAGAGAATGTAGATGTGTATGGAACACATTTTTTTCTTTTAGAGGATGTAGATGTGTGTGGTACAAAAGTTTTCTTTTAGAGGATGTAGATGTATATGGAACACATTTTTTTCTTTTTAGAGGATGTAGAAGTGTGAGTGGTACAAAAGTTTTCTTTTACAGGATGTAGATGTGCTGTACACATTTTTTTCTTTCATAGGATTTAGATGTGTATGGAACACATTTTTTTCTTTCAGAGGATGTAGATGTGTGTGGTAAAGCTCAACCCATGGAAGAAGTTAAAGCTTTTAAGTTGCCTGAAAATGGACGTGCTGTCAATCACTGCTGAAGGCGAGAAGAATAAAATATTTCTTTTTAAACTGGTATTTAAATAAACCGGGAGTGATCTCCCCTAAACTTTCTCGAATATTCTTATATAAAATAACAGGGGATGGGAACTCGGGCTATAGACATGATTTTTAATCCATTTTAAATACTTAAAGTTTTAAAAATAGAATAAAATCTCGTAGAATAATTAATTGCACACCAAGTGAACGCCAAAATAAAAAAGCGCATAATGGTGCGCAATATTATTATTACTTTTAAAATTTACATTAGTTTTTTGAGAAATCGGAAGTAGCGTAAAGTACTACTTCCAGTCAACGGAAATGACTCAAAATTTGATAGAAGGTAGAGAATTAGATCTTTTACTTACATATGAAATTTCATTTATCTATCTGAAATAGTACTCAAGTTATAGGCTTTTGAAAAATTCAAAGTAGGAAAAGTACCACTTCCGGTTATCGGAAATCGCTCAAAAGTTGATACGGATCTACGATTTTGATAAAATACTTATATATGAAATTTCATCAACCTAGCTGTAACGGTTCTCAAGTTATCGTGTTTACACACGGACAGACAGACACACAGACACACAGACACACAGACAGACACACAGACATACGGACAAGATTGCAAAATTATGTTTTTTCCGTATCAGTGAGGTGTGAAACGTCGAGACACTGTTAAAACTATATATTTTCTATGTAAATTCCATTTCCTTCGGGGGGGGGGGGTAGACTTTCCACCACAGGTTAATTAAAAAAAACAACAACCATTATAATAGCAATTATATAAATATTAAAAAAAAACATACATAAAATATCGCCTGATAAAAATAATACTAATAAAAATGCTGGCTCAGTATTATAACTGCACAACTTTTAATTTTACATTTTAAAAAAAACTACCATTCATCGCAACATATCTTTAAATTCATATGAAAACGACCCGGGCACTCACTGTTGTATGAATTGGTTTCATAATTTTAAAATAATGCGAAAGTTTTGTTGTTGCCATTTCAGCTTGGATCTGAAATTTATCGCAACCCCGCCAAAAATTAAGTGGAATCCACCCGATAACCAGACATACAAGCTTGTCATCTTTGATGTGGGACTTCTTAAATACAGAGGAGCATGGGACGATGTTAAGATTACAGAAGGAGTTTTAAAAGGAACGGTACTGTGATAAATATGCTTTAAGCATCATGGTAATGAAACATCTTTGATGAAGTAATTGTCCAATATTTAGGGCACAAAGCTGTTGTACGGTGGCATATCACAGGATGAACACGGCGTGTATGCGATTATACATACTTCGTTTTTAGTAGTCATCTATAAATGAAGTCACGCTCCATTTTTTACCTCCCTTTCTCTCCTTTCTGTCACACATCGTCACAAAAAACCAACCCCCCCCTTCTAAAATAACCACACACCTCAGCCCAGAGGCGTAGCGACCCTTCCCGGCGCCCGGGGACAAACTTTCGATTTGCACCACCCCTCCTCGAACTTTTTATTTGCACCCCTCCTCAAACTTTCAATTTGGCGCCCTAAGGTCGGCGCCCTGGGACATATGTCCCACCACCCCCCCCTCACTACGCCTCCTGCCTCAGCCTACGACAAAACTACAGTTGAATTTTAACTCAAACATAGATTTTTTTTGCCCTCTAAAGTCTTTACTGAGCTCGGTCAACATAGAGTATTTCAATCAATTTCTACAATAATTTATTAAAATATTTTTCTAAAATTGCGAAAGAAATAACGGCTAAAATTCGTTTTCTAACAACTTTTTTTATAATATAACTGTGTGGCGTCACACT